ACCTGCATCAATCCACCTCTGGGACGGGCCCTGCTCATCTCTCACCTACCAAAACCAGGAGCTTCCAACAGTTTTTCCAACAGGCCATGTCAAAGAACAGCACAGGCCAGTGGGATGCCCCAGGATTTATTTCTCCTGATGGAGAAGTGCTCCTCTGTATTTCACCCTCAAGCTACTTCCCCTCTGTTACCACATCTAAAGCCAGAATGCCATTTTTATTGGAGGCATACAGAACATGGCAAGGTTTAGGAATGAACATGGGATTTAAGAAGCAGCCAACGTTCCTGAATGCCTTCCTCCTCTGGAAATTACACAGCCTCTGACTTGTTCCATTTAAAAAAGAAATAAAAAGGCAACTGAAGTAAAACATCATGAAATGAATGTTTTAGAACTAGAACAGTGGCTACAGCGTTGTCAAACTTGTATCAGATCAATTTTTTAATGATTTTCCTAACTTACCTCAGGCTTAAATTACTTTGCACCCCACAGAAAACAAATCTCAGCCTGGTGTCCTGCAGAGGAACTCCCACCAGCCAGTGCTGTGCCCATGTCCGTGTCAGCACCTTCTCCCCCTCTACTCATTAACTGTTTTTAATAGCTCAGAGTGTCAGGTAATTATTTCAACCATAACCCATAAGAAATCAGTCTATTCCAGCTGCTAATGACCAGTTAAACTGCAATAATGAGACATTTTAAGTGGGCTATTACTGTAGGCACTACTCTGGCATTAATTGAAGAATTGTTCTTGTGGGGGATGAAGATGCACTTGTGGCCTGAAGGACCAGGTGGAGGCATGTGAAATTTCCTGAATGTTGATGACAAACCGTTTGGTTTTACTGAGGCTCTGCTGCACCTTAATTTTCAAAAAGAAAAATATATTCTGGTAGTATTGAGGAACAGAAGTTTTACAGCTTTTTACCTTCATCCTATCCATCAGCCCTGAATCCTGCTCAGGCACCCAGGGGTGAACTTTTGACATTGCTGCTTTTAGATATTTTCCTCTGACTTCTTTTTAAGGAGTCTGCTGCTGCTCAAGCAGCTGCCAGGGCCAAGGAAAGCGTAGGCAAGCATTGTCCAAATCCTGCTTTTCCAGAGCTCTCCAGGCCCTGCTCCAAAGCCTCAGAGAGCAGTGGGAAGAGCTGGATGAAGCTCTGGCTGTACCRGCATGGCTCTGGGCAGCAATGCTGGGCATCAACTCCTGCAGGCACCACAAGCAAGCGGATTATGAACTCCAGCACTGTGTTTATCCTGTTTAAAAATGGCCATTTGGTCCTAATTTCAGCCTGAAATTGCTCATGAAAATAGCTGGTAACGTGCAAAACTCAGCTCCCTCTGCTACGCTGCTGGCACTCGCCTGGAGCCTGGCACTGTGAGGGACACACAGATGGTCCCTGTGCCCACCACAGTGGGCAGAGGGTGGCTGCCATGCCACCCTGGCCATCCCTCAGGTCCCTGTCACAGCCACATGCGCAGCTGAAGCACCAGCTCCATTCTCAAGTATTTATTTTTGGCAACGAARGAGGGACAGAGGGAGCCCAGGCTGACTTGCAGATTTACTCAGGGCAGGCAGCACATCACACACTGGCTCCTAAAGCACTCGCAGTGCTGTCCCTTCCCTCCTGTTTCTGCCACCAGTGCTAAAAACAGCATTAACACAACGCCCATGTCTTGTGCCAGGACAGTGTCCTGTGAACAGGAATGACCATCACTCCACCTTAGGAATAAAGCAAATCCAATGACACTCGTCCTGGATCTCTCTACTCCAACAGATGGCAAGCAGCAATGTCAGAAACTGTGCCCAAAATGCAAACAGAAAATAATTAGGCAGCTCGTCTGACAGGGCAACAAAGAAAGATACCTGCTCGGCCACAGCCACTGAGGGACCTTGGATAAACTAACGATAAAAACAATTGATCCATCCCAGAATGGCGCTGGAATGAAGCCACTTGTGGCAGGAGGGAGGGATCAGCCATGCAGAATAAACCAGGCTCAAAAGACTGGAGCAGAGCAGCCCTGCTTCGTTATCGATTGTGCTTCATTATCTTACAGAACCTTTCACTCAAGGATTTCAGCATGCTCTGCTTATCCAGGCAAATCCATTCCCAAACAAAATTCTGAGAGAGAGAGGGTAAAAACTGCCCCAGAGATTTAACGTGGGCTCTTAATTAGTCCTCAAATCATTCTTACTGGGAAGAAGCAGAGAGATGATTTTAGCTGCCAAGGACATTCAAACAGAAGTTTAGCAGCTTGCAGAGGTGCTCCGCTGCAGTTTGGGGCTGGAAGGGAAGGAAGCAGCTCCTCCAACAAACCTGTGAGAGGAGCTCAGGAAGGAAAAATTAATTACCGGTGCTGAACACTGGCCAAGCCATCAGACACAACACTTCTGCATCCTTAAAAAAAACTATCATGTGATTTTTTGTGACCACAGATGGTCTGGAGTCTGGTAGAGCTTCTCAGCTGAAAAAGGCAGTTTCAGCCTCCCAGACACTTGGGAGGATGCAGGGCAGAGGATGCAGGAGGGGCAGCATGGGGGACATGCTCTGCTCTCACCCTGATGCCATGTGCTGCCTTTTCCTGACTGCAGGCAGAAGATTTGGGAGCCACCAGTTACCCCAGAGGATGGGGACCAGTGGCACTGCTGGCTCAAGGCAGGCATTGATGAATGGGTGAGTGGTGGAGGACATTTCCAAGGGCTTTTCCTCCAAAAAGCGATAACAAAAAGAAGCTGGAAGATGATACAGCAGAAGATTGTGCCCTTTGGAGAAGCTTGCCAGCACCCAACAGAGCCCTGGCATTCTGTGCTGCCTCAGTGAGCTCTTCCAGTCGCTGTGACAAGTGAGGAGGAGGGAGYTGGGTCCCAAAAAAGCATGGTCAGGACTCGGGCTGCACCAGAGCCTGGCTCCTGGCACTCTCTTTTCCATCTCAGAAATGCAAACAAGAAAATTCCTCTTGCATACTGAGCTCTCTGGCATCTCCTGATGTCTGACCACAAAACCACCACGAAGTAACGACTTCCCCTTAGCAGGAGTCAGACAAAGGGTGTCTCCAGAGCTGCATCCCTGCACAGCATCCAGGAGCTTGGCTCAGYTACTGCCATGCCAAGTTACACCGGGCTCACAGCTCTGTGTCAGAAAGCAAGGATTGAGTTACGTGCAGCAGCCAGAGCAGAGGCATGGACAGCAGTGGGGGGCCCTTCCTCAGGCTTCTCTGAGCTTCTTTCCCTTTTCATGGTCAAATCTGGATGGGGAAAACACCTCCACACACAGAGGTCCCTACAAAGATTTCTCATCTTTGTCTCTGCAAATGTGGCTGAGRGTGGGTGTTTTCTCAGTGCTGCCTCTAAGATGCCCTGCCAGGATGAGTCCTCCACTCCTCCAGACTGCCTCCCAGATTTCACCTTCATAAAACCCACTTGGCCACTTGGAAAGCCCCCTCCTGGAAGCAACATCCTTCCTTCCCCAGACCTGCAGCACCTGATTCCCATTGCCAAGAGTAAACACCCAAAAAACAACCTCCTTCTTTCAGAGCTGGGCCACAAACCCRAAATGCTGACAAAGGTTGATCCCACCTGTATAAACAGGCACTAGCAAAAATATGCTCCATAAAATATGCTCCACAAAATATGCTCCATAAACATTAGCTTTTGAAACAGAGCTCTGTACCACTGGTAAGTACAGAACATATTTATTTACCAATGGATGTTAATTTACCCCATAAATCCTTAAATAAAGGCACTGCCTGCTTTTTTTTTTTTTTTTTTTTTTTTTTTTTTTTTTTTTTTTTTTTTTTCACTTCTCCCCCTTTCTCTTGAAGCAAAAACATCCCACACATGGCAGGGTGGCCTCGGCAAGTGACAGTTTCATGAAGACTTATAAACGATGAGCTGCCAGCTCATGAGGCAGCAAGGCTCCTGTTCCATCTCAGGTGACCTTTAATGCAAATCCATTCAGTCCCCGGGATCTCACGGCTCCCATGTCACAATGGCACTAAGAGGATGAAGCCTGAGAGACACTGAATTCTTTTTGATGCTGCCAAGCCTGTTTGCTTCCTTCCCTGCCCCTCTGTTCTTTGAAAGCAGTTGCCATTCTGACACAGTATCTCCATCTGGCAGGGTGAATAAGCACCCAGAGCCATCAAAAAAATGAGTCAATGCCACAGATTTAAAGAAGTATTGTGAGATTTCATTTCAAACTATGGGGATTACTTTTAAATAGCTCCCTTGAAAGTATTAAACCCAAGATGACAGTGCAAACACAGCAGAGCCTGCAGAGCTCCTATCCCTGCTGTCTTTCTGCCACCAGCCAGCTGTGCCTGGTCCATGGACACTGCTGCCTACACTGAGATCCACCATGCAGCTCCCAGAGCTTGGGATCACATCCCTAACTCCCCCCAGTATTCCAAAGCTTAATGGCTATCCTGGGACCACCAGGATATCACACTGGCCAAGCAGGTGGAAGGAGGGGGAATCATGGGGTTCAGAAGGGCTCCCCAAATGCTCTCACACTGAGTGTGCCGCATTTTGGATGGGAGCTTCTGTTCTGCTCCTCAAGAAGAGAGATCATGGCGTGGGAAGCTATGTCCCACTTTTGCAATAGAAAAACCTGGAGAATCCTGCTTTCCATCTGAAAAGAGAATGTCTGTCCCTCCTGCTGTGGCGAGGGCAGGCAATCAGATGTCTGCAGTGGTTTGCTTAGGTGTGGCAAAACAGAAAATGTGGCAATGTAATACGTGGTAAGGACTTTTTTTCCAAGCCACCAGGCCAGGGTGAGGAGTATCCGACCCCGGTGCTCCCTGATATCCCCCCAAATGAAAGGCTGACCCCTGAGGTTTGTGGAACACTTGGGTTATGCATCCCATGATTATCTCACTTCCCTGGCAGCCTCACAAAGCCCTTCTCCTGGAGGTTTCTGATCCAAACCAAGGTCATTTGCAGTAATTAGTGTCACTACAGCAACATCTCTGTGTTATGCAAAGAAAGTTAATCTAGATTTCTAGCACTCAGAGCATTAAATGATTGCAAACAACATCTGATGACGCCTGACAGGCTCTTGTCACTAGGTTTACTCAGAAGAGAAATAAGCCTTATTCAGATCATGTCCTTGAGCAGCTCAGGACTCTCCAGTGGCTTACACAGGCACAACCCCGGGGGTCCGAGGTTCTTCAGTGCCACCCTACGTACCTGAATGCATGTCCCAGTGCACTCCTTGCAGAGRCTGCAGGACAAAGCCCATCTGCTTGCTGGGATATGTGAGATCTTCGTAATGGGTTCCATTTTTTCAGGACATCCAATGCTAACCTGGCCACAAGATAGAAGACAAGTTGTAAATACTGGCTGTGGTATTTCCTCTGAATTCATTCCTCATCTGAGGTGTATCTCAGATRGGCATATGTAATTAGCTTTATTCTTTGTAAATACTCTTGGCRTAAGTAATTAGCCCAGAATTATGCCCCCCAGCTTTGTGCCCTTGCACCCCAACTCTCCACCCTCCCTGAACAGGGTTCCCCTTGGCTGCCAATTAAACACACAGCCYGATAACCGCCCGGCATTGTGGCTCTGGCACAGCTTGATGAGCCAAACTGCATTTGATATTTACACCATGAATGAACTGAAACCAGCTCTGTGCCCAGCCAGGCACAGGAGGAGGTTGGAAAACACCTTACTTCAGGTATCCATAAGGCACAGCTAACGTGGACCCATTTTGTCCCGCTCCGGGTGGGCTTCAGCGCTCCCCCTCTCTTGGGGCACAGCAGACACTTGGGCTGGACACCGAGGGCACAGGTCCGGCACAGCCAGCTCCCGATGGGCACCTTCAGGATGCCATAGCACGCCTGTGGACACACGAGAGAGGAGGGTAAATCCCATCCCACATCTCATCCCTCGCTCCCACCTTTCTCACTGCCGCTGCACCCCAACAAACGGCAGAGCAAAAGACACAGACAGGGAGATGAAGTTCTTCCTTCCCTCCTTCCTTCCCTCCTTCCCTCTTCCTTCCCTGCTTTCACAGGGATGCTCATGATGGATCAGTGTGCTCTGTGCTTTAATTTAAAGCTCAGTATAAAATCATGCTGTGTGCCATGCCAAGCACCCGCCTGGCTCAGGGCTGGGGCTGAGCAGAGCCCGCTCGTGTCCGGCCCGTTCCTGACCCACAGCGACTCAGAAAAGTAAGAAATGCCGCACAGAGAAATCCTCTGAGGTCACTGAGGGCTGAAAAGCCACAAGCCCATGATTGAGAAAGTTGGCCACACTGGTTACAGACCCAGCACAGCCCAAAGGGGAAGCAAAAATAACTACGGAAAGGTGAAAAGGGGAAGCCAATAGTCATGAATGTAAATGAGATGGGAGGAACCAAAAAAGATGGTAAATATTAAGGATGACACATCTAAAGGGGGCACAAATCTGCAGCCAAGAAGTGAGAACTGAAGGACTCAGGCTGCCCACGGAGCTCCCTGTCCCGCTGTGGTAACACAGGACACTGAGAAGCCAAAGTGTTTCATAAATATTCTCTTCCTTCCTTGAGTAGAGCCAAATGATAAGCCATATCACATAATGATAAAATACTTTCCACTTCGACCATAATTTATGACTACATTAAACAGCTTCTACTAAAACGAGACAGTTTTCAACAGGCAGGTCCTGATAACTCACACTKAAAGGGTTTTCCGAGGGCGACACACACTGCCTTGGGCACTAACACAGGGCTGTGTCACTATTTAAAGCCAGGAGATGTAATTAATTTTGCATCTGGCTGCTCTGACATCCCTGCAGAAGGCAAGCAGGCAGTGCTGACAAGGACCCCCAGCACTGGTGGCTGCAAATTGAGCCCAGGCATTTCTCAGCTCCACTTCTGGGGGTTTGCCCTCAAAAAGAACAGCTTTTCCTCCTGCTGCTGCAGACCACTGTCACCACAGAGCTGCAGGAACAGAGGGGGCATGTGGGGATGTGTGAGCATGGGAAAAACACATCTTCCGTCTTCACTGGCCAAGATCAGATTTTAATATCACTTTTTTTGGTTGCCCCAAATCACAAATTGACAGTGATGTCCAAGGGGAGAAGTCACTTTGTGAACAGATTATTGGKATAACAAGGAATTAAGGGARGAAATATTATTGCTGTGAGTCWACATGGTTCAGAGAGACTTAACTGKGTGTTTCACAGTGCCTCCAAATCTGACAGATAAATCATTTCTGGAACAGAGTTTTGTAAAACATGTGATTTAGTACCAGTCAAGAATCAGCCTGGTATGTACTTGCAAGAGCATGAACTGGCAGACTGATCTCAAAATCCAGGGGAAAGAAGGAATTATGACCAGGTGCCCATCTCTAGCAGATTCTTGGATCTTGGTTATTTATTTCTAGTGATTTTAGAGCAGCTGAAGGTGCAGTTCTATTTCTGAGGAGAAATACTACAGGGCTTCCATCCCAGACAAGAAGCAGCTCTAGAAACAAGATGCACTGTCAGTTAAACACTCTTCCAAGTCCAGCACCAGGMAGAAGGTGCTCCAAAACATGAAGCCAGAGGAATGCTGAATAGGAGCAGAGCAGCTATTTTTATTGCTGCATCTCTCTGGGGTGCAACATCACTGAGAATGAGATGGCAAAAAAATCAGAGAGGATGCCAAGCCATAGATAAGCTTGGTGTGGTCCAKGGAACAGAGGGGTGTTCAGCCATGTGCCCACACCAGGGAAAGGGAATTCAGTGATGACAGGCCCATRCATGGTGGCTGGAGGTGGATCCATCCCCATGCTAAACAGGAAAACAGGAGTGTGACGCTGTCACTGTGAGAGCAGTGAACAGTGATTTAGCAGAGGGGAGCACAGTTCCACCCCGCTGGCAATTTTAAAAGCACGATTGTGTGTGCTTCCTAAAAGCTTCACTGCATAGGAAATAATTAATAGCAAGCCTCATGGCTTGTATTATGGGGATGAGATGAATGCAACGATACCTCCTGGCACCATAACCCACCACCACATGCTTTGGGCCCCTTCCTCAAGGGATGCAGGAGGCATGAAATCTGTGGTRCCAGCACCCCTGTGCCTGCAGGAAAACATCATTCCCAGCATGTTCTGGACGTGGTGCTGGCAAAGGCACAGGCAGGTTAGATAACCACGATGCCATGTAACACCCTGCACTGCAGCTCTGGACTTTGTGGCTTAGGGTGTAAATCGGGGCAGAGATTAAATCACGGGCAGCTTATGGGCAGGCACAGGGCTTAGGGCTGGACTTTGCTCCCTGAAAACATCTGAAAATCCCTCTTTTCTTTTAACAGCCTTGAAATTCAGCCTGCTGTGTCCCCTTCTGCAGCACTGGGGCTGCTGCTGAAAGTGGAGCCCACGGGGTGCCACAGCTCCCCCYGAGGCCCTGCTGCGGCTCATGACAGCTCACAGCCTGACACTGCCACTTGGGCTTGTTAAAAAAGAACCCAAGACAAAAAAAAAATACCCTGAACCCAGCCCTGAATCATTSTGGTATTTTGTGGAATCTGATTCACTGATGGAAACCATTCAAAACACCCACCTCCCGCAACTATAGATATCTCCAGTGCTCTCCCACCTCCAGGAAGCACTGATGGAAAAGCTGCCCAAAAGATGAGCAAATGGCTCTCTTTAGAACTGAAAAAAACACAAAATTGTTCACACAGGGGGTGAAGCCCAGGTGCTGCTGCTGCCATCCCAGCACCACATCCCAGGGATTCCCCCTGAAGCACGACCAATAAACCCTCCCTGGGCCCACATGGGATCCTGACGTGGCTGCCTTTCCCTTGTCAAGGTTTCCCCAAAAGCAGGAGCCCACAGACCCCCCAGCAAGGGCTTGAAGCAYTTGCATTCAATTCTAAAAATAAAATTATTTTCCTCCAGGCAGCAAAATAAAATGAAATCCCACGCTCACACAGTGGGGAAGCTGGGACAGAAACCCTGCGATGTGAGACAGCACTGGTGGAGCTGGAAGGTCCAACCACCCCCCAKATGATGGGAAGGAGGGGGAGCCCAGGGGGTCTGTGCAAGTCCACCCCTCTGGTGAGCACAGGACTGCAGACAAACATCCCACCCAGCCACCAGCCAAGTCCTGGTCACCCCAGGGTGCTAAAGATCCCACTGGGGCTCAATAAATGGGGTAAAGAAGAATAAGCATATTAGTGGATGAGGAGATACAAAATAAAATATCCCGGAGAATAAGGCAATTCAACCTCTGGCTGCATGTTTGTGGGAGCTCTTATGAATGGTTGGGGATAAGAAAGTAAGGAAAGCAAGTCTGCTGTCTGCCAGCTATCCCATGGGACTGGGAATCCATGAGGAAAGCTTCACAGGAGCCCAGGGAGGGGTGGAGGGGACGGGAGGAGCCCAGAGGAGAGCACCAGAGGGTGCTGAGCAGAGCCAGGCGCTGCTGGGGCTCACCTGGTGCACGCAGACGTTGCACTTGTCACAGAACACCATCTCGTTGCCATCCTCCCCCTCCGGCGAGCGGCACACGTCGCACACCACGTCCTCGTCGTACTCGATGCCCAAGCCCTCCTCGGTCTCGATGGCGATGTTCATGTTCTCGTAGCACATGGTCTCCAGCTCCTCCAGCACTCGCTCCAGGGTGATCTCGTCCAGCTCGGGCTTTTCTGCAAGGCAYGAGGCAGAGCATGAAGACAGAGCCACCGAGGCAGCTCCAGCACGGGCRCCCAGCCGGGGGCTGAGCATTTCAGAGCGCAGCTCGAGAGGCAAATCCACAGCAACGGTAAAAGCGGCCACTCGGAAAACGGCTGCTCCTAACTCGGGATGCAGTTTATATTTCATAGACAGTAACAAAATATTGCTGCTGGCTGAGAGGAAGGAAACCCATTCAGCTGAAGCAATGCGGATAATTGGGGCTGACAGTTTAAATGTTCAAGGAGACAAGTTTTGCAAAGATGCTTTCTGCAGYGAGGGCTCAGACAAGCTTTGGCAACACAAAGTCAATGCTTTAATTGTTAAGACTGAAAATTGACCCTTTTAAGGCCAATTAAATGGAAGTGTAAAACTGGAGCCRAAGGCAGAAACTGAGGACAAATGAGGGGTTTTTTTTGTGTTTGGGTTTAGCGAATCAGGAGGTCAAACCCAGGTAGATCTTTTATTCCTGCCATACCAGGATCTTTAATGGAGAGAGTGGCAGAGAAGCTTTATCAGAGTTTTCTCCATAGAGGCAACCAGGAATACAAGGTTGATTGTATYATCCCAATATGTATTACTTCAACAACCAGGAGAGGTTTCTTGGAGCAGCAGCCTCTAGCAATGGGATACCTGGCTGCCTTTAGACAGGGCATCCTGCTGCCAGGAGCTCAGCAGCACCAGAATGGTGTCACACTGAAGGCTGCTCCCTGAAGTGCTGCCTCTCACCTGCACACAAAGATCCTGGTGCCACAAACGCAATGTGAGGTCACTCCAGATAAGGAAAATGATCTGTCAGCAGCAGGAGTAAGGCTCTCTGTGACAGGTTAGAGGCAGAGTTAAGCCCCCACCACACCCTGTCCCCAATGAGCACTGGCTCATCACCAGAGAGGCAGAGAGAGACAACAACAAACGTACCAGCAGGATGCAATACAAAACAATTAGACTTTGCAGCTCATTAGTGTGTACTATCCACAATGGACAGTGGACCAGCCTGACCCAAACTGCTGTCCACCCTCCTTGTTGCAAAGCAATGGGAGAAAATACCTCACGTGTGAACAGAGACAAACAGGCTTGAGGAAGCACCCATGAGGAGGAGTTGCTAATTAAATGTTCAGTGAAAAGTTTGGCATCCTGGGCATCTCTAAATCCAGAGTGTGATGTCCCTGCCCTGGGCTCAACTCTGGGCTGCTGAGARATCCCCAGGGATGGGGTTCCAGCACCTCTGGCTGGATGGGGCTGGCAGAAGCTGCACTTTTCCCCCCACGGCCACCAACCAGCTAAAAAAACTCTGTCAAGGGGGAAAGCATCCCGTAGGCGAGCTCGGCAAGCAAACACACCATTGTCTGCCTTTTTAAGCTCTTCCCCAATGTTTCATTGGCACGGTTTCCCTTGGCTTGACAAGTCTCTGCAAACATCCAGCCTGGCATTTTRCACGTCTATGTGGAGTCTGAGATACCATCTAAGACAGACAACACTGTTCCCTATCGCAGCCCTTTCAAGAGCTGGGGCTGCTGTGCCACAACACGCCAGGGAACCTGCCAGTACCTGCTTGGCTGTGGAGCAGCCCCGGCCATGGGTGTGGGAGCTCAGCCCCAGCCTGGCAGAGGCTGCCCAGGGCTCTGCAGCTCAGCAATGTGAAGCATCCTGCACCAGCACAGCGAGTTCTGAGCTCCAGGGCTGCAATGGAGACACCAGCTCGCCCTTGTCTTAGCTCAGGTTGGATGGGGCAGGTCACGAAGAAGAAAATAATGGAAAGGTGGAATGGTTTGGGGTGGAAGGGAAATTAAAGATCTTCTCATTCCAACACCTTCCACTAGACCAGGCTGCTCCAAGACCCATCCAACCTGGCATTGAACACTTCCAGGGACAGGRCAGCCACAGCTGGGTAATCTGTGCCAGGGCCTCACCCCCACTCACAGGGAGATTCCTTCCCAATATCTAATCCATATCGCTTCTCCTTCAGCCYAAAGCCATTCCCCCTTGCCCTATCACTGCCTGCCTCTTACAGAGAAAGCATTATTTTTAYGTTACAGAGAGCATTATTTTTGCCTTAACGGAGTCCCTTTATAAACATCCCACCCAAGGTGCACTTGCTCAACATGACTTTATGCAAGCATTCAAACCAGTCCAGCAAGAATATCCTCCTCTTGGTCAAGGTTTCAACTCCTCATCTATGCCTGTGGGCCTGAGCACCAGAGTGTCAGCCTGGAGCTACTCCTGGAGCTACTCCCTTCCTCCCAACAGTTCAGGCTCTGCTCTTCTGGAAAGCAAAATGATCATCAAGGTGTTCCCAGTRCTTTTCCCCACACACTTTCCAGAGCTGCCCTGTGCTGATGGGACAGGGCAGGCAGAGAGGAAGGAAAGGGAGGGGGCTTTCCACAGGAATCATAAATCTGACCTTGCCCAGGGTCAGGATCATGCTGGCATTGCCACCGTTCCACTTCACCTCGAGCGGAAAACAGCAGCCACCATCCCGCCTCCTGCACTTTCCATCACCACCTGATTACTTAACCCTGGGAGGAAAGTTCCCGCTGTCCCAAAACTCCTGTGYAGAGGGAGAGCAGCACCATGGCAGGGTTCCCTGATCAGGCTCCGTGCTGGGCAATGCTGTGGCACTCCAGGAGCAGCGTGGATCCGTCCCTCCYGCACACGCAGGCGCTCCCACGCTCCACTGAGATGTAATTACACCAGGAATGCGTTTGCCAGGCATCATCCCCAACACCTCGGAGCTTATTGAATTGACAATTGCACTTGATGGGGATGAAGCGATTAATCGTTTATGAAACACTAAACAATGGGGCCTGGGGGTGAAGCGCTTTTTCCATTTGTGCTCCATTTATCTCCTTCTGCATCGCGTGAAGTTTGTGCTGCTAAACTCCATTCATAAAATTGTCCTCTATTTGGCTGMAAAAACTCTCTATTGATTGTGGCCAGCTAAACAGCAAACACAAAAAAAGTCCCCACCAAGACACTCCCTGTGTACACGCAGAAGTGCCACTATTATTGTCCCCAGAGAAGGAAAAGTAAAGATGCAGACACTGGTCTGCAACGAACAAATCCAGAGATGCCCACATTTGGGACCATTACCAGGTCAGTGGACTCTGCCTGCTGACCAAGAGAATGGTATCTTCTCCTGATTAAGGTCTGCCAAGGTCAGTGGACTCTGCCTGCTGACCAAGAGAATGATATTTCTCCTGGTTAAGATCTGCCAAGGCCTTAGGTGAGAAAACTAAGCTTTTTTGAGCCTCCACAGAGAAAGGCACTGCAGCCATAAACTTCTCCAGAGCTTCTGTGTGGAGAGGCACAGGCAGAAGTGAGGCTTCAATCTCACACCAATATAATCTCCATGTTCAAAACACGGACACAGCAGGAGAATGTCCCATCAGCGCTTCCAGGAGGCCACCCACACCCTTTCCTCATTAACACTGGATGCACTAATGATGATGGGTTTTGATGTGGCCACCCAGCCTCCCTGGAACACCCCGGCATCACCCCACAGTGGGAAGGGCTGTGATCCAGGGAATGCTGCCTCCCACGGCATCTCAGATGGAAGAACTGCCCCTCYCTGGATGGAGCAGGATGCTGGGGGTAGAAAATGGAACTTTGCTTCAGAAATGGAGGTGACAGATGATGAYGCACAACAGGAGGTCTCCAGATCTGATTCATGAAAGGAAAAGGTGAAGGAACTTTGCTCCAAGGAAAAAACTCTTCCCTGTGTGTCCACGTCAGGTTCTGCTGTGATCCCTGTGGCTCCAGAGACACCAAGCACCCCCCTTATCCCAGGGAATCCCAAGGGCCCAGCCCAACCCCACAAAACTCAGCCCCTCCAACTGCYCAAACAGCACCTGAAACACAGAATTGAAACCCAAAGGAGCTGGGATGGCTGGGCTGCCACTGGAGCCTGGGAGAAGCACCAGGCACATTCCTTTACACAACGCCGCCCTCTGTTATAATTATGTCTGTAATATCGTAATTTATGTGGCATGAAGGAGCAATATKCTTCTGCTAAATGAATTCTCAGCTACTCCTTGTCGTGGTGTGAGCCAACTCAYTGCGAGGGGAGGAAAAAAATAGCTGGAGAGCCACCTTTCACAAAACAGAGCCCTATTTCTGACTGAACTGTGCTCCACTAATATCAATTTACTGAAACAATAAATCCTTTCCCCCTGTGGAGAATACCTGGAGATAGAAACAGCTCATGAACAAACAGCTATCAGGACTGCAGGCTGTGCCRTTCGCTGATTCACAGACTATAAACCTGGGAGTCTACTTACAGGAAAAAGAATATAGGTAATAACAAGCAAAATTATTGTTCTTTAAAATAATAATAAAAAAGGGATACCATTTGTGAGATATGTAGACTTGTCTCTGACTATCTTTGAAAACCTAGAGTTTTCAAACCTGAGAATGAATGACAGGTCCCTGATGGGATGAGGTGTTCACACATGGTACAGGGACTACAGACTCCAGAGATCTCCTTCCAGCTCACTGTCCCTCCAGCTGGCCCTGGGCAAGTCACTCCAAACCTGCCTGCTCTGGCACTCTTGGGGGACACCAGYCACCCTGCCCTGGGCTGAGTGTCCCCTGGGCACCCCGGCTCCTGTCCCAAGCATCCTTCAGGGACATCAGGGGATGACAGCCAACCACCTGAACACCACACCAGCCCACCTGGGACTCCYCCAGCCACGTGCAGCCACCACCTGCCCACACACAGCCCTTGGAAGATGCAGCAATTAATTAATCTTTGATCAAAGTTATTTATAAACAGACCCTGCACGTGAAGTGTGACCAACACACAAACAGCGAGCTGAGCATCCACAGTGAAACTTCCAGACATTTTGTTACAAACACAGCCTGCTAATGCACTTAAAAGATTTACAGGAACCAATTATCACCCTTTCTGCCACCCACCGACATCAATTATTGCTCAAATTTAAGATGATGACAAAATGTTTCAGAAGGCACTTTGTAAGCTGCCGCCTCTCTGCAGTGATGCTCGGCTCTGACAGGGCTGTCCTAGAGCACTCCTGATGAAAGCTGCCTCACCCCATCCAGCAGCAAAACCCCGAGTACTGCTGGAAACCACCGCAATCACTGCCAGCAATTTATGGTAACAGCAAAACAGSGMCTTGACTGAAAACTGATTGTGCTGRAAATGTGGAGGCAAAATGTCTGAAGAGTCTCCCACTGATCCCCAACCCTGCTAATCTATACATTAATGCATCACACACAAACAATTAATACATTCATTTACACATGGCATTGATTAGCTGCATCTCTGAGGAGCTAAATCAGCTCAGCTGCAGAGGTTTGTGGTGTTTTACAGAGAGGAATGGCTTCCCACTGAYAGAGGGCAGGGTGAGACTGGATATTGGGGAGAAATTCTTCCCTGCCAGGGTGGTGAGGTGCTGGCACAGGCTGYCCAGAGAAGCTGTGACTGCTCCATCCCTGGAAGTGTCTAAGACCAGGTTGGACAGGGCTTGSAGCAACCTGGGATAGTGGAAGGKGTCCSTGYCCAAGGCAGGGSATTGGAACAGGRTGAGCTTTAAGAYCCCTCCCAAACCAAAGCACTCTGTGATTCTGTACTGGGGCGGCCCTGCAGTGGGACATGGACAGACACACATTGGTGGGTGGCAGCTGCTTGGAGACAGCAAGTCTGGGGAGTGCCAACTTGCTGCCTCAGGGTGCAAAAAGGGCTCTCAGAATCCCAAAAGGATGCGGTGGGATGGGAGCAGGCTCAACATGTGACACCCAGCACCRGCAGGGAAGGAAGCAGAGGAGCAGCACTGACAGCAGCCTCTGCTCCACTGAGCACATCCTCCCCGGGGTCCTCCACCAACTCCAGCTTATTTCACATCTACTTGACCAATCTCACCTCCGCCCAGGGAGGCATCATCTCATTAGCACACAGACATATCTCAAGTATGCAGCGATGAATTCCCCCCGGAGCTTCAAAAGCAATCCATGTGACCTTTGCATGTTCCTGCCATAAAATACCAGGAACACCTCCAGCTCCCAAGATAGAAGCTGTGGTGGGCATATGTGAGCAGAATACACCATATGGATTAAGTCAAGGGAATACTTAGAAACTTCGACTCTGCCTTCAGCAAAATTGATTCYGACAACAATTTTTAGCAATTTCTTGAGGATTTTCCGTGTGTTTGTGAAGTGCCGATCACTGCAAAAGGATCTTTCAGCCTTGGTCTTTGAAGTCTCTCTAGCTCYGCTCTTACAATAGCTTTGGATTTAGTGGAGATCACAAAATACAGCATAAAATGTTAATATAAAAACGGAGACTTATGGCATGGCTCCTGTCTAAAAGGAAAGGCCTGTGCTGCCTGGAGTGGCACGGACATTAATCTGGCTCAGGGCTTCATTCAGCCATCTTCAGATCCACTTCTTTTACTATCTCATATTGCAGCAGCAACAAATAAAACACTTAGGCATGCCTAAATACTGACTTCATCTCTAGCACACAAAGGTTCTTTAAACAGCACATTTCCATCGAGTACAGCAACAGCTACTGAGGCATCTTACTGGGGGGTTTAAAACTATTTAAAGCTGCTTTATGTTTAAAACTTTTGCTTTTCATGTAGAACCTTTGCTTTCTGGAGCAAGTCTGCTTAATTGGGAGAGGAGTCAGCAGGCAGAATGCAGAGAGCTGGAGCTATCTGGAGGTTTATCTGATCTTGGTGATAAAATTCCATCCCTGGGGTGACCTAAAAAGGACTGGAAAAGGCATGTGCKATGTGCTACGTGGATCCACGAAAGGCGAGCTGGATGATCTCATAGGTGTTTTCCAGCTCTCCTCCCCGCACATCCTCAGGAGCCAGTCAGAGATCAGGATCCTTCTTTGTCATTAAATATTTTGGGAATGACATATTGTGCCCCTGGACGACCCAGTGACAACAGTTCAGACAAACACCCATGAGGAATTTAAACTTCTGCCTCTCTCTTAAATGAATGCTGGGAGATAACTCCTGACTCCTCTGCACGGGAGGAGAGGCTGCAGTTCTCTAGTTAAGTCTTGTTAATGATCTTGGAGATTAGCAAAGCTGGGTTTGGAAATCTCAGCGAGTCATTAATGGTGTCATTAATGTCAAGGGCTTCCGGGAGAAAGCGCTATTTATGGACTGCCTTTGGACCAACCCAGGCAGCAGCAATCCTCTGCCTGGGCTGCTGAAGGGCACCCAAATCCCACCCTGGGGAAGCAGGGGCAGCAAAGCCATGCTCTGGCACAACCTAGGAGGTGAGCAGCAATAGATCTGCTATGACAGCGTTCCTCTATGAGCACCCAAACCCCATCACTCCATGGGCAGGAAAATGCATCCCCTCGGAGAAGCCCGATGACCTGCAGCATCCGAGGTGGGCACGGTGCTGTGACCATCTGGGGAACCAGCTCCCATCCCACTGCCCACCTGCCAAACCCCCAGCTCCCTGCAGCACCAGGGATGGGGTATTAATCAATGCCACACATCCTCCTTTTCAAGTCACTGGAGAAAAGGTACTAGCCCTCCCACTGCGAGACAAGCTGGGAGGCCTGGGGGTGGGGGGAAGATAYCAGAATCCATTGGGCTGAAGCTGTRTCCACAGTGGATTTGAAAGCCTCTCTCTCCCCAGCACACTTAAGGCTCAGCCAGTAATGCCAGTGTTCCATCAGCAACAGGAASRGGCAGCAGGAGCAGGGGATGGGCASTGATGCTCTCTGCACTCCCACTGCTGAGATCCCCATGGTCCTTATCACCATCTRGAGTTGGTTATGGCAGGAAGGCTCAAAGGCTTCTTCACAGTCTATGGTTTTATCCAGCCCAGCCCTGGGCAAACACCTGCTAAGGACACTCCTTGGGAAAGGTGACTGGATGATAAATGASATGGAGGAGAAAAAATGCAGCTGAGAATGGCAGAGAGCCAGCAGCAAAGCATGGCCTGTGTCCTGCCTTGGGATCCATTGGGATGCTGAGGTGCCAGGCCACAAAAAAGGAGTGTGGCTGGGGTRAAGCTCAAGCTCCCCTCCTAAACCCAACACATTCCCAAGGCAGTGCTGCTGGAGAAGCTGCTTCTGTCCCCAGCACTCTGGGCTTGGAATGTGCCAGCTCAAAGGTGACATGGGGACAGCCAGCTCCCACCTGGCCTGGGGCAGTGACCCTCCASTTATCTCAACCTTCCATCGCCCCAGGAACTCCACATCTGCACATTGCATCTGAAACCTAATACACAGAAGAAATAACAAAGGAGGCAAATTTAGCCCAGCTGAGCTGGAGAAGCCAAATCTCTGACCACTTCCTTTCTAGAGACTTATGAAATACACACAAGGGGAAGTGGAAATACAGACAGCCCTTCTCTGGAGCTCAGAGACAATTGTGAGGGCCACGCAGCTGTGAAGATGGTGAAGGAAATGTTGCAGGGACAYAGTGAAGGCAGTGAGGTTGGTGATGCCCAGTGCAGTGGAAGTTGGTTTCTTGATGCAGCCACAGCAGCTGTGCAGGGTTAGGGAGGGTGAATCCTCTGAGCAGGACTGAGGCACTTGGCTTCATCCAGCAGCACCCTCTGCTCTGCCCAAGGACTTCACTGYAGCTGCCAGTGCCTCAAAACCTGGGTGTGCCAATGAGAGAGCTGAGGCTGCTAATACAGGACCAGCTCATGAGGGCAAAACTGATTTGTGATTTGTCTGTGATGCTACAGGCTCCACAAGATTGAGATTATGGGAAATCAAATTTGAGATTATGGGAAATCCAAATAYATGGGATAMCTACAGCAGATAATGAGACAAACTGTGAAAGCAGCCTCTACAAYTTYCTCAAGGTCATTGCAACAAAATTTTGCTATAAATCRTGAGTACACCAGAAGGACAGATCTTCCAAAACAAAGATCAGTCAGTGTGGTGGTCAAYTTCTGAGTTTGCTTACACTCCATGCAAGATCTACATCTTCCTGCCCTCATCCTGAAGCCTGCTGCAGCCCTCAGCCAGCTGAGGGAGCTGGCACAACTCTGCTGCTCCACAGTGCACGATCCCATCGGCTCAAGCACTTGGTGAAATCCTTTGTCCCACCCTTGAAAGACCTTTGCCACCAGGAGTAACACTTCCTGCAGGCACACTTGAGCCTTCACTGACCTCACAGGGTGAATGTTTTATTGAGGTGTTATTCTTACCTGCAGAGCAGCAGCCACACCACAGCAGCCCTTCCCTAACAAGGACTGGAAAATCCCTCCAGAGTCTGGCAGGACTACACACCCATGGGTCTGTGCCAACAAATCTGCCCAGCAGACCATGCTAAGCACTAGTGCCAGTGGTCAAATTCCAAGCTCAGGTACTTGCACTCGAACAAAATCCACGAAAGGATTTGAAGAATGTGCAGTGATATAACAGCAGTGATGCAGGCAATGTTATCCTGTGCTATTTGGAGATGCCTGGGACAGGAAACACTCAGGGACCAGCATTTCTGAGATTTCTTCAAGGCCTTTAGCTCCACATGGTGACTCAAAATGCCTGAATGCCCACTTTGAGACACCCAGGCAAGGAAAGAAAGAGAAAAGCAATACTCACCCATCTCCTTGAGCTCCATGTTAACAAGTTCCAACCAGCAGGCATCGAGCTCRTCCAGGTCATAGCGGCTCATTCCTTGCAAGTAAGTCCTTGTAGCTTCCGAAATCTCAGAGCCAGGCAGGCTGCTCGGTGAAACCTGTGAAAGGGAGCTCTCCAGCTGGGGGATGATCCTGCAAAGGAAAGAAAGGGAGGTTGCGAAAAAGCTACAACTCCCTAAAATGTTCTGCTGCTTGCCATGGAGGGTGAAACCAGGTACCGACCCAGCTCTAAGAAGGAAAGSAAAAGCACTGCACCAAAGCCAGGCYTTGGGCTGGCACTGACAGACAGCCCCAGCACAGTGACCACAGCAACAGTGCTCCCTACACCCTTCATCTACAGAAATCTACTCTTTACATGAGAAAAATGAGATGTAATGATGATCCAAATACTGGCAGAGACCCCCCCAGCCATTGACTCCTCCCTGAACACCTCCAGCCACATCCCACACGGTGCTGGGCAGCACTTTGGCACACTGGGCACCGGGAAACATCCCATGATGGCCTGTGAGATTGTTCTGAGTGCTCTCTAATCACAACCACAGGGATGGGGAGAGGARCTGCCTCATCTGCTGCAAGCTCCCTGCACAGAGAGCGACCAGGCRCTGGCTGTCAGCTCCTGTGCCTTCCCTTGGCAGCTCAGCAGCAATGTGCATGATACTTGCCACGCACATGTCACCAGTGTCATGCCTAATGACATGCAAGCAGAGGACAGGCTGGCAACGAGGAGCAGCCTGTGGTGCCAGCTGACAGATCGTGGCAAAGTTGGGAGCTGGAGCTCGCTGCAGTATTTGCACAGCTCACATTTCCTCCCCCGAAATCCACCTCCTGGCACAGATACCGAGACTGAAAGATGCTGCAAAGAAACAGCAACCAAACAGCAACTCGCTGCAGCACATCAGCCCCCTCCAAACAGCTTCTCCCCATGCAAAGCTGCAGGACCCAGCCCTGCTCTTGCACCCGTGCCAGCTGGGAAGGCTGCTGAGCCCTGGAAGACTTTTATCTGCCTTCTGTCCTGCYATGTAAGCTAATGTCAGAGCAACGAGTGCCTTGTGCTCTGTGATGTGTCTGGGGCAAAGCCATGGTGTCCATCACAAAAACAGATGAATCATGGCACCAGATGCTCCAAGGTCTGCACGTGCCAAGGGCAGACACTTGTGCCCAGCTGCCCTTGGGAATGGGACCTGCCTTGCTCAAGGTTAGGAAGGAAATCTGTGGCAGGGCAGGAAAACCAACCTGGATTTTCTGCAGACCCAGACAATGCAGCTTAATTGGTGTCCTCTGCAGTCACAAACACTGGAGGTACTTCCAGAGCCACCAGCAGGAGAAGCAACAGTTTATGGCTCAGAGAGGGAARCATCAAGAAATGGGTTCTTATAATCTCTTTTGCTTCACTTGCCCCACCAGTAAATAAATAAAAATATGTGACCCAATGCTTTGAKTGTATCTCTGAATTTGAGCTCAAGAACTGAAAATAGCCCCATGAAAGGAAACTCTCAGTCCCGTCATTTTAAAACAAGCTCACTGGACAGGACTTGAGGATTCTCTGACAAACACTGACATTATGCTCCAGCCACAGCTTCAGGATTGGCATCTAAGGAGCTCCCAAACCCCYAAAATCAGAGAATCACAGAATGGATCAGCTTGGAAGGGGACCTTAAARCTCATCCTGTTCCAAKCCCCTGCCATGGGCAGGGACACCTTCCACTATTCCAGGTTGCTCCAAGCCCYRTCCAACCTGGCCTTGGACACTTCCAGGGATGGGGCAACCACAGCTTCTTGGGCAACCTGTGCCAGGGGCTCACCACCCTGAAGAATTTCTTCCTAATATCTAATTTAATCTGCTATCTGTCAGTTCCAAGCTACTCCTTCCTGTCTAGKCACTACATACCCATGTAAAAAGTCTCTTTCCAGCCTTTCTAGTAGCCCCTTTAGCCACTGGAAGATACTAATAACAAAAAAATAAAGCAGGAGCTGCTGGTGCAAGGTGCATTGGTTCACATCAGACTGAACCTCTCCTTGCCATGAGCCCAAGCCCAGATCACCCCTGCACAGAAACAGAACCTCAGAGGGGGAGCAGCCAGGCTGGGCACAGCCTTCTTACGGGAGAAATCTCAAAACTGTTGAGAAAAAACCAATCCCCCAACTGCAATGAGCATTCCTGTTGGGAAGAGCTGCCTGAGCAGGCACGGGGCCGGGGCTCTAAGCCTGGGTTAAGCTGAGTTACACAAGCTGCTCAGCCAACAGCCCCTGCAACAGGTGATGCTCTGACAGCCACGGGCGCACGGCGTGGCAGCAGCAAAGAGCTGCTATTTTTACCCCGGCATAAAATGGCAGAGATTAATGCTGTGTGTGCATATCAAAGGAGTATCCTGAACAGGTCAKTCACTGCGCTGACAGCACTGGAAGGCACTCGGTGTGATAAGGACGCTGACGTGACTGCAGCAGTCCCTCGGGGTTATCTCACACAGCGCACACCACACTGACACAGCACCTGCCTGAGCCTGGCCACGTCCACTCCACCTGGCCATGCAGCCTCCCCCTCCCTTCTGGGGGTACCTCGTGGAGAAGATTGTCTGCTGAAGCTGATGCTCAGAGACAGGACACCCCTCAAGTCATGCACCCACCTGCGCAATGTCCCAACCCCACAAACCCTGGATGCRTTTTTCCTCTCAAATCCTGGTTTTGCACAGTCCCTGGTGATGCAGAAATCACAGGGACCTTGGGGGATYACTGATGATAACAGCACCACCAGCACTCGATGCCCAGTTCTTTCTGACACTGTAATTAAATGCAGTTAGCTTTGGTTTAATGGGAACTGGCACTTACAGAGTAAAATTTTGCTTCTCACCATGTCACTGATGATGAAGATCAAGGTAATGAAGATACAAACACCTAACAAGCTCTGTKTGCTTGCCAGCACTCTGTTAAAAGGTTTGAAACGTGCCAATGCAGTGATGGCAGGTGCCTCCCCTATTCTGGGAACASAGGGATCAGAGAGGGATGATCAGGAGATGCAGCACTCAGCCCTTTCCATCACTTAGCACCAGTCCTACAAGGCACAAGTATTCATATGAAAAGATTTTCTCAAGAGGACCACTAAACTTTACTTTTGAAGTTTTCTCCCCATGACCCCRTGCTGATCTGGCAGCATGGGCTGGGATCCCCTGGAGTTCATTSAGGCTTGGGAATGCTGGGTCAAGTTTGTGCCATATTCTCACCATTTCAAATCTCAGCAAATGGAGAAGGTCAGAAATGAAGAAACTGAAATATCTGCTACATTATTTTTTATCCAGTGAGCAACTTGTACAACCCTATGAAGACCTGCTGGAAGCCTGGGCCAGATCAACCCCCCGACTCATCCACAGCACTCAGTTAAACACAAGGGTTTTATGGCTCGCAAACAACTCAGCAAACCCTAAGAGAGGCCGTGCCTGCTCCCATGAGCATTCCTCCCACCCTGAGGGGAGCTGGAAGCTGCCAGATGCTCAGGCTCACTTGGGGCATCCCAAGCTTCTGGGAAGATCAAGCAGGATAMAATGCCCAGAGGTGCACAGACTCCCACTGATCCCTGGATTTGCTTTAGTGGATAAAAACACGTTCCTAAAAAGCAGCCCTCTCCTTCCTGACACATGCTGACACACCTGAAAAGGGCTTCCTGGTGTTGAGATGTAAAGATGTAAAGATCAGTGGCTGCAGTGACAGTGCCTTGGGCGAGGAAGGAAGAGATCTCTTCCACTGCAAGGAAGAGATCCTACAATTTAATACAAGAGAGCAATCCTTCAGGAAAGCCCATGCCCTGCCTCACAGCAGCACAAAAACCAGACCAAGCTGGGCACCCTTCCTCATTTCCAGCAGCTTCAAGAAACTGGAGCCCAAAAACCTGCAAGCTTTGTGCTGTCCAAGACACTCTGTGGTGGAGATGAGGCAAGAAAAAGGGAGCAAAGCACAGAGGCTGCCCTCACCAGTGTCTATCCATCTCCTGCTGGGCTCCAGGAGCTGGGGATTTCATCACAGCTCCACTTCTGCACAAGTCCTAATCCCTTTGGCTCCCAAATAGCTGCTCAGTGGACAAAGAAACACCCAGGCTGGGTGATGAGGACTCTGCACATGTGCCACCAACCCACCCAAATTCCRTGCACCATCACGGCAAAGAACCACTGAGGCAAAGCCTCCATCCAGAGCCAAACCATTGGCAGAAGCTCGATTACACTGGAGGAACATTCACTCCTTTATTTATCCAGCTGGCCAGAGACACAGCATTTTTACAAAATCAGATATCAATCAAAGGCTCATTTAAACGAAGGGCTGAAAATTGGGATCAGCCTGAAAAGCACAACAAACCTGAGGCCATTAGTCTAAAAGTGGGTCTCAAGGGCACTCGAGGAAAAGGAGTAAGTGGACCCCAACACTCTTGAGGATCACATCTATCCCTGGAGAAGATTACACAGTAATAAAATACACTCAGCAAATTCCCATGGTTAATCATCTCTGTAAACCGAATGCTTCACTTGGCTGAAGGGAGAAGGCTTTTTTTTTTCCTATATGTTCCCTTTTAATATACCAGATAGAAATAATTAATCCTGCATAGTGTTTCTCATCTAAAAATACTTAATTTTATTACAACAAAGGCTTTAGTCAGTCATCTTTTCTCTACCTCCATTCCAGTCTAAATTAGTCTTGTCCAATGTCCATAAATAAATCAGCTTAGGAAAGTCAGGGGAAAGATAGCTCTGCCAGCAACCTCCAGTGGATGCTGAGACTGCTCCTACCRCCAGCTCTGCTCGTGGGGGAATTCTCCTGAGGCACACGACAGCTTTAAAAGGGCAATTTAAAGGATGATTTCCACTTTCTGTTTATTAAAATAGCATCTAGTAGGCCATTTGGACCGGATGCCCCATCTTCTTATGAACTTGAGCTAACAGATTTTATAGATGCTGTTGCCTCTCGACAGCAGAGCAGAATTTAAGATGTGAGAAAAAGAGCCTGGAGGTGTAAGGGTGAAGGATGGGGTTGGAGATAGTGGTGGATGGTCCCAATAATGAGCCACAACCCACACACAARGGTTGGTGACCCTCAGCGTACCCACACCCAGATTTACTGACCATGTTACACCTACTTACTGCATTTTTATG